TTCGTTATAGGCAATCTCGTACCATCTCGACGATTTTTTGGGGATTAATTGTGAAACAGCACTTCGTGCCGCTTCCAATACTTCCCCTGGTAAATGCTCGTCTTAAACACTCTTAGAATATGAATTACAATATACAGGGTGTATCTATATACAAAGTTGCACCCCCTGAGGAGTTATTAGCCCCCAAAGTAGGGCCCTAAATTTCGAAAAAAAATAATATCTCTGCAACACTTTACCGCAGAAGAACCAAATTTGGTACATGATTTAAGTTTATTACTGGTCTTCTTTGACTATGATTTACAGTTAATCGAAGCACTACAAGTTGTTCATTGGGATGACTCACCCCTAAAATTGTAACGAACTTTTTTTTCATTGACCGAATTGAAAAATAATAAATTAATTCACAGCCAAATTTAATTAATAATTTTTTTTATTCTTGTTAAATTTTAAAAACCTTTATGGTTTTCAACAAAAACACACAAGATTTTAACAGTGTTCATTAGAAAATAATCAAAAAGTCAGTAGTAGGCAATTAATTAATTTATCTGTCTTTTGTCAGTTAGTAATAAAATTACTAACTAAAATAAGAGAAATTATTTCTAACCGTTTTACGATGTTCCAAGGAAAAATGAGTGATACAACATCATTGACCTAAAAACCTAAAAATATTCCCCTCATCTGACGACATTCGACAATGCTATAACGGAAGCGTATCTCTCTCAACTAGTTCAATTCAACTTCCTATTAGCCACCAATCAATTCCGGTTCTGAACGCTATTGACCTTAAACTAGACCTTGCCAGGATCATATTTAGGTTATTGTTTCTCTTTCTTTTTTCCACCTGCAAGGACGATTAGACGTGCGTGATCGCACGGTGAGGTTTAGTTTACCGATTTATTGGGAAACGGCCACCAATAGGTGTCTGCAACCGTAAATTATTTGTTTATTTACCCGACCGCAAAAGAACAACAAAGCCAAGGATTTGCTCTGTCGCCGAAAGAGCCATCGAAAAATGTGTTTTGGGGAATTCGCTTAATTATAGCCGACGTTTGAAGTTCCATCGGTAGACCACGGACTGGTTTTGGGGACTGGGATTTTAGAAGACCAAAGATGACGTCACGATAAATCAGTGAAAAGGCTGACCATTTTAGATTCAGAAGTAAAAGTCGCTAAACTTCTAATGGGAATCATATTCATAGAAACTAATTATAGTTGCTACTTTATCAGAACCAAATGAGGGAAATACACACTGGAAGAACTATTAGTCAGTTTTGTTAACGTAACCGCTTTCGTTGTCTACACGGTACGAATAGGTTTTAAAACCGCAGCCACCAGTATTCCTATAATAAATCTCGTCAGCTAATACTTCACTCGAATTGAAGTTTCAACGTGAAAAAACTATTAGTTGACAATTTATTGCGGGGGAAGGGTATCTAGAATGATAGTGATCAAAAAAGTAACTCGTAAGAAGTGACGCTAAGTTGGAAAATTGGAAATAACTTCATGTTTTTCACTTTTTTTTTTACTGCCCACGACAATCTAGACGACTTCTCGAAATATTAATTATTTTATGTTGTAAGCAATTAAATTACCCACATTTTAAGGTACCTAGAGTAATTTTTCACTAATTTGTTAACTGTATTGTTAATTAATTTCGTTTGTTTTTCTGCATAAATTGTTTAATTACTAAACGTTAATTTTAGAAGTTAATGTCGTAGATATAGGTTCTAATTGATCCAAAGAAACGTATCGAAATAAAAAAAATTCAAAAAGTTGAAATTACGTTGCTGCTGGCAACTAACAAAGTAGGCAAAAACGGATTCATAAGCAAATTCTCCCGAGATCAGGCAAAAGTTGCTCGGGATTTCGCTCTTTTTGCATTAAATAGAGCCTATTTTTACGGTAATTTTTAAAAAAGAGTGAAATTACCTACGCCTCTTTGTTACCAAGATAACTCTTTTTATATAATGTTAATTGTTAATTCCCGGACCGGGATTTTAAAGACAATTAAAGAAAGGGTTACACTTTTATTTTATTTATTTATTTTAAAAATCTCGTGAGCGCCACCCCCGATCGCGCCCGAGATTTTTTAACCGAATTTGAAACGTTCGAGTCACTTATTTCGAGTTACTTTTTTGATATTATCATTCTACATACATCCATGATAAAATGCAATAAAATGTATACTAATAATTTTTTCAAGTTTTCAGGTTTTATGATCTAATTCGATTGGGGTATAATGGTCCACCGTAAACTTCACTTAATGGTTATTGGAATCGAATTTTACTATAACAAATGAAATGAATACATTTTGATGGCCGCAGAAAATGTGATCTACGACATAAATAGATTTACTTGTTATTAGATGGCTGTGATAATTTTTCTCTCGCATTAGCAACGACTGTTATTCTAACTGTTTTATGGTTTTCTCGTAGCGGCAGCTCTTTCAAGCGATACTCGATTGTTTTCAGGACAGATTTGACTCCATTTATTACTTTTCTGCTTTCGTCTTTCTTAAAAATACATATATAGGTAGGTACACGTTTTTTTAATATTTTTGTTGTAAGAATCAGTTATAAATCGGTAACATTTTTCTTATTTTAAACCTAAAACTAGAAAAATCAGTAAATTTTGATTTTCAATACCGATTTTTTAGGGTGAGACTTTTATAAATCCAATGATTCCGTTTCCTCCGTTAGAGGTAGCCACGTTGCATCGTTGCATGAAGGAAATGAGAGGAAAGGAAACTAGTGAAAGCATCATTGTCTTGAGCTATTTATCGTAAATTAGGGGAACGATTTTCTGAAGATAACTACATAAATGCTCAATGTTTACGGGTCTAACACAAAATTACTTTTTTAAGTACCCAATTTACCAGTAATTAATGGATATCTGGCATTTCTAATAATGATTTCACGCATTATTTTTAATTTACTACTAGCCTTGTTGAGCAGCGATACTAACCTATACCTGATTTGAAATTTTCGCATAATAACAGTTGCTTTATCTGCAAGGTAATTCATTTCAGTAAAACTTCGTCTTAATTCGCGTTCATGCAGGTATGTATATATGTTAATTATGTTCCTGTAAAAACTAAGGTATTATTATGTGCAATTAATAACAAAAAAAAACTGATTCTATTAATTTTATCATTAATCTTAAGCGGAAACAAAGCTGAAAACGATTTTCTTGGAATCAGAAACAAAGAGACATGCAGAAGTGTGTGTAAATTCCCTGGTTGGGTTCTGATGACGTCAACTGAAGTGGTTAAACCCAACGCCACGAGCTTTACCAACAGCAACTGGCTCTATTATCGTCTTTTTATTCAAAGAAGTGGCACTTAATTGCAGCACCGGTAAAAGTTCGGCTTTTGAATAAGTGCCACTTAATTTTTCTTGAATATTTATCAGTTTTACGTGCATATTCTGTTTATATACAGGGTGTTTTAATGAGGAGTGGCGCCTCAAGCAACTTCAAAAAAAAAAAGCGAAAATCTCGCGTCGTTTTTCATTCCAAGATATCTCGGAGAATGGCACCTCGTTAGAGAGTTAATTTAATTCAAAAGCATCTGTTACAAGCAGCCAAGCAATGCAGAACGGAGATTTGAGTCAAGGTTAAGAATACTGCAAGTCTAATTCACTGTCGCTTTCGAGTCCAGTTAATGACCACGTTGTGTTTGCTTTGCGTAGATAGGAGGATACGAAATGTTAAATACAATTTATTTTTTTAACCTACCTGTTGATTTAGATGAGCGATAATATCTTCAATTAAGTGCTTGTTGGTTTGTTGCAGTGATATCTGCGGTGATGCCAGATGTAGGTATTTTTCCCTAGTTCTAGGGAAAAATAGCCTAAATTTGTGAAACTACGAAAAGGGGGACTTTTATTGTATAATATGGTATTTAGGGATTTTGTGCTTTTGTACAAAATAAGGAATTTGAGACTATTACCATTACCGCACCAATTAACGATAAAAAATATAAAAATACGGATTTTTTTTTAAATTGGAAACGACCCTGTTGAGAAGGCTTGAAGTTTATATGTCCACAGATTAGATAAACCTTAATATTGTATCTTTCTTTGTTTGTATGTAAACTTATATTTTCACTTTCGTATTTTAAAAATTAAGTCAAATATTTGTTTATCCGGTTCCATAAATATTGCGCGAGATAACGTTCGATATTTAAATTAACGACGTACATACCGGCGAAGGTTTCCGATTAGACAAAAATGCAAAAACGGGGTTGGTCAGAAATGTCTGAGGTATTTCGCAACGTTGACATGTTAGTAATATAATAAACTCGTTCGACCGTGGTTTTTGCAACAGCTCTACTCGCGAAATAAACATACTACTTTACCAAATGCTTATTAATTACTATCAAAGGTCGTATTTACCAACAGATAAAGGATTATGGCAACATCACGCCAGTTTAAAAAGATTTGCGTAAGACGCTCCGAGTGGCACTTGTATTTTTTGTTAGAATGGCTCGGCAGTTCCAGCTAGAAGTGGAAATATATTATTTAATAAGTATTTTGCAGAGTCATTTAAGAGAAACTAATATAATTAATTTATATTTGCATCTCTTAAAATACGAACAAAATATTGTATGTTTATACCCTTTTTTTTTCTGATTCAGCCAATCGGCAAAAAAATACATCGTGAGCAGTTTAAATTTAAGCAGAATACGATCATGTTCCGAAGGCTTACGAAAGGCAACGGAGGTTTTGGGCCGTTGTTCACTAAAACGGGTAAAAACATAGCATTTACTGTAAGAAATATTTGTTCATGTAAAAGCTGTACGTCCTCTCGTTTCAACGTTTTCCAGTTTCATTTTAAATTCGAATTGACGGGGGATATTCGGCAAATGGGGCCGCCAAACAAGCACCGTATCCGAGGGAATCCCGAGGTGTCGCGCGTCGTCGAAATTTCCTCCTTCAGCGCGGTCTCCTGCTGCACGCCGGCGATATATACGCTTCGCCAGCCCGGCCCGCCTCAGTCAGTCAGTCTTCGGTGTCGTGGCGGAGCGTAGCGAATTCGAATCCAGGCAGTTGACGCACGTGACGTGTCCGAAAAAAAAAACGAACGGGATGACCTCTACGAACGGAGAACATTGCGCCAACAACGGCGTCGTCGCCAAGAAGGCTAGGCCGGTGCTGACGAAGACGTGGTCGGAGAACTACGAGATCAACGACGTGGAGGTGCCAGGCAGCCCCAGGACTCCCAGGACCTCCACCACGCCAGGTATCCTAAATTCGCGCCGTTTTTCCAAAGACACACACGAATAACTAGATGTTACACCGGACTTCACTAGATTTTACGTGAAAAAATTAAGGAAGAGTTCTAACGCACTAGTTAAAACCATGTAACTGCTTTAGATCCGTGTCAAATGGTCAAATTCGGTCAAATTTGTTTGATGATTAAGTTTTCACTTAATTATTATACTTGTTGTAAGGCTAGCCGTACACTATCAAAACAAAAAGCGACGAGCATGGAAGACTTGATTTTTGCGTATTGTTCCGATTTTGTCCGAACTAACGTATCTCGTTGGGGGCAGTTAGTCAGTTAAAAGTTTGTTTCTTGTTAGCAGCAGCAACATGTCCTTTTATGGAAAAACGTGAATCTTGAAGGTTAGCTGTTCTAAGTGTTTGTAATTATGGCGTAAGGTCAGAACAAATGACTACTAGTTCTGTTCTTATACCACATTTGTACGTGTGTGTAAAAAAGGATCACAATCAAACTGTTGCCCTTGTCCACTGGGTCTTGGATTAAAAAGCAACCGTACTAAAAATACTGGGATGTCACAAAGTCTGACTGGTCATAGTACAGATTGTCTATTTTTCCAAAATGTTACCTAAACTTGCTTTTTTTTGTTAAACAAGGTACATAATTATGCTCAGATAATCCTCAAAACTCGTTTGCATTGAATACGATTTATTTTAAAATAAAATGGTTTAAATAATGTTTTGTTTTGGCTATCGTGAATATGTTTACGCTGTACATATCGCGTCTATTCCGAAATATTTCGATCTGTCTTTGTCGATAACAGCTTATCTTTTATTTAAAAGTGCAAGATCCATAAAAAATAGAACATGTATTCGTTGATGCAACACAAAACAGTTTTCTCCTACAATTATTGAAGGTTAATAAAAAATCCTCTGTTCTTTGTAAACGAGATTTAGGCATTTAAGTACCATTTAAAAATATAAGTTTTATGCCCCATAAGAAAAGAAAACTTTCCTTATTTACCTCATTACCTTGAAAAAGCTGCTGTGTGCCGACATAAGTATGTTACAGAAAACAATCACAATGCCATACCTTCATTTTTGCCATGCGTGAAAGTCCTGTTGATTTTTGTTTAATTAACGGACTTCCGGGTAAATAATATCGACTTTATTGGACAAATACAAGGGCAAGACCATTGACAAAGCGATAGGTAATTTGCTACAGAAATGCAAATAATTCAAGTCCTGTGTTGGTGTAACATTTCGTTCAAGGAAAAAATATTTAGTTGCAAGTGGTATCAAATTTGATGAAATATTTATTATCGAAATATTATGTTAATTGAAAATAAAATACTGTGATATTCTTTGACTTGATAAATTATGCAAAATTAGGTGATTGGCATCAAATTTCAACGAATTTTTCGTGACTAAAGAACGAAAAGAAACAAAATATGAAAAACCAATATTCAGTGCATATTTTCGGATTTTTAGGCTCTAAGTTATCAGAAGACATGCTTGATGGCTCTGAATCTTCTGATTCCAGAGCAACTTGCTCCTGATCACCCCGAACTTATTCAAAATACGTATTTTGTCCAGTAATGTCATTTTAATTTAAAATACGTTGGATATATGGAAAACGCCGCATAAACTTACATTTATGTAGAGCAAAACAACTGATTATCCATTTCATCGGTCTCTCGCACGTATCAAGTAACATTTTTATGAAAAATATCCAAGGCACTTTGCAATCGACCAGCCTCCGTGATCGCAGAAGGCCGTGTTGCGTAATCCTGGCGCTACTTAACTCATATGTAATATCATATTAGTAAGCAACTAACCAGTAAGCAAAAAGTCCCTTCGCATTGTTATTTCGATTGTTTCAGCGCAACTGTCGCTGTAGGTGACTATTTTACGACCTGCTCCATTCCTGTTTGTCCTCAGACGATTGTTTGCTGTAGAGTTCCCTTGCTTCCGTCAAGGGTTTGGTGGTACCGGATTTAAACTCTACGAAAGAATGCCCAAGGAAAAATCCTCTTTAACTATATTTCATTTGCTGTTACAAAATACATTGCCTGATGTAGAAATGTATGATTTAGGATCACCAAAACGTCGAGAAATAGTAAAGAACAAGTTGCAAACTTTCGTTTCTTCGAATGTAAAGTGTTGGTGGGATTCCTATGATACAATGTAATGTTTATGTTTAATTCCGCAACTTAGCATCCAATAAGACGCTGCAAGTTATCGCATTCAGATAACTAAAAACAAATAATTGGTTTTGATACGGTATGTCGAAATTCGTATTAATAATTGCATTACGTCATGTATGTGCGGACCAAGTGAGCCAAATAAGGAGCATATGACATTTCAATAGACGTATCTAGATATACGAAGCCATCGTACTCCAGGCGAATTAGATCGTAAAACCTAAAAACTTGAAAAAACTATTAGTAGACATTTTATTGCACTTTATGATGGGGAATGATATGTAAAATGACAATATCAAAATGTAACTCCAAAGAAGCGATGCTAAGTCGGCAATTTTCTAAATAAGTGGCCAATTTACGTGTTTTTTCACTTTTTTTACTGCCAACGAAAATCTAGACGACCTATCGGAATATTAATTAATTATTTTATGTTGTAGACAATTAAATTACCTACATTTTAAGGTACCTAAAGTTATATTTCACCAATTTGTTAACATGTAAAAGGAAGGCCGAACGAGGAAATATCAGTTTTCGAAAATTGCGCATTATTATTGCAAAAACCGATGGATGTTTATGAAAGTTATAGAAAAGACGATCAATCGATTCGATTTACCTTGAAATTGTTGCTCCAGCTATCTGTTAATTAATTTCGTTCGTTTTTTTTAACTAATTATTTAATTACTAAACGTTAATTTTAGAAGATAATATCGTAGATAATAGGTTCTAATTGATCCAAAGAAACGTATCGAAAAGGAAAAATTTCAAAAAGTTGAAATTACGTTGCTCCTTGCAACTAACAAAGTAGGTTATAAACAAATTGCCCCAAGGTCAGGCAAAAGCTGCTCGGGAATTCGCTCTCTTTGCATTAAATAGAGCCTATTTTTATGGTAATTTTTGAAAAAAAGAGAGAAATCACATACGCGTCTTTGTTCCCAAGATAACTTTTTTTATGTATAATGTTAATTATGAATTAACTATTGGACGTATCGGACCGAAAGTTAAAAGACAATTTAAGGAAGGGTTACATTTTTATCTCCAAAAAGTTTTACATTACAAGTAGGAATAACACGACGTATTCTTATGACATAAAACCAAAAATCGTTCACTGAAAATTACAGCCAAAATAACAATATTCCGTGGTGTATTTTGTTTTTGTTTTATGTTTAGCAACCGGCGCGGCGTCTTTCATAAAAACCTATAACTAAATTCGTAAAAACCCTGTAGAGAACCAATAATAGTCTCTAACTACATATCATTTGTTGTAGGTCACGAAAAATGCACCTTCCACCACGACCTGGAGCTGGACCACCGGCCCCCGACCAGGGAGGACATGATTCCGGAGATGTCCAGGTCCTACCGACTCCTTCTCGAGTCGCTGGGGGAGAATCCCGACAGGCAGGGGTTGCTCAAGACCCCTGAACGTGCAGCCAAGGCCATGCTGTTCTTCACCAAGGGTTACGATCAGAGCCTTGAAGGTAAGACAAGAGATAATCGTACGTCGTCACAAAAAATTAATTTAAAATCAAGGTTATGGAATAACAGTTACAAAGTAGCAGTTACAATGTAACAATTAAAAAAGTAGCAGTGACAAAATAGCAGTTATTTAAGTGGCAGTAAACAGTCTGCATGTAAACTCTGTTTCCGTTTTGTGAAGTGGTTATCTATTTTGGTATAGTTCTGTTCATAATCGGTTTTGAATTTTAAAATAAGTTCATTTCATGTGCCACACACAGAAAATTTTTGATCATAAAAGATATTCATAGTTTTCTTGAACGACAAAAGATTTGCGCACGTCACTGCCTGTGAGTGTTGTCGCTGCGGGTTTTGAGGATAAAAAATTCGAGATTATACCTCTGCCTTTGAGTAAAGTGACACTGCGTAAATAATACAACATGAGCATCACTAAGGAAGGAAACTGTCGTTAGATTTTTTTCCTGTATTGACGCACGTTGTTTTTTGTACCATGCGTATAAAAAAATTCAATTAGCGCGAAACTACATCATTCCCGACATAATTCTCGCTCGCTTTATCGTCGTACTCCCGGCTAATCCATATTAGGGACATAAAAAAGCGTTTAAAAATGGTCCCAGCTAAAACCAAAGCCTTGTACAAGCCCCCCTGAAACCCCCGCAACGACCCCCTATTAATTCAACAGGTTGGCGGAGGTTTCGGGGAATAATTCACGAAGTTATCGTGAAGGATAATAAGAAGCTGCGGCGAAGAGATAAATATAGTGGAGATTTGGAATTGCTAATGCAATCCAGCACTCTGCTCCGGGATATAATTCTGGAGAGTTGAGCGAATTGTGGGTGGGGTGGGAACCTGGCCACAGGTCGTACGGAGCGGACTTTTTTTACTGAAATATTGCGATGGATTTAATTTTTCTGACGTGATCAATTAGAAATCTACAAACGTCTTCATGTCGAGACATTACCGTTGCCTTTTATACTCATACCATCATATTTTTCTACTATTTTTTCTCTTCTACAATTTCAATTCCCATTTCGAAATTTTTATTTTAATTTTAAGTTTTTGATTTCGATCTCCAAACGAAGACTCTTGCAGTTAACTGTCATTTGTTTATAAATCTACATCTATTTAGGCGTTTGCCGCAAGCAGCTCGATTTTGAACCTATTTTCTTCTATCTAAAAGTCCGTGTGCCGCTCTCTTCGGACGGCGACAGGACCTCGACTCATTTCACTCACTCGGCAAGGTGCTTTATGCTTTTAAGCTGCGGAAACTGAGCTTTCGAGTCGGCTGTGCCTCTTCACGACTTCGCTTTGACCAAAGGCCTTTTGAACTTCTCGAGCTTTTAGGAGCAAATCAAATTTAAGAGACCGGGGACTGTTTTGTTATTTGCTTTGTTTTTTTATCAAAAATTATAAGTTCTTGGCGTAGGAGTGGAGGAATAAGATGAATTCGGGAGGTCTCACAACACAAAAGCGGTTGTTCGTTTTGGCTTTTTAATTAATTATCATTTTTTGACCTTAAAAATACAATTATCAAACAATTTCGCTTATAATATAAATATATAATGTAAAAAGTCATAGGCGTATTTAAATAGATCGAAAAGGAAACATTTCCGCATCAAAATAAGGGTATATAGTTTTTTTATTCAAATATTATGAAACAAAGAAGACCAAACGACAATATTCCAGTCTATCCAGCAGGCTGTGCCAGTTGTGCCACCCGCCCACTGCGATAGCATTTATCGCGCTATATAGAGAAATCTAGTCACCCTTGTGTATCACTGTAACTTCGTTACCTGTTGAATGCCTCAATGAAGGAGCAGATGTAAGAGAGAAGAGGAACGCTAGCAAGAAACCCCGTCGGTAATTTTGTCGGAGGCAGATCGAAGGCCCAATTAGATTTTCCGGGCTGCAAAAGTCTTTCAGCATCGCCAATTAAGACGTCTCCAAAGAGGAGAAATCTATTTTACAGCAGGGGCTTTTCGGCAAACACGACAAATTTATTTCTTGTGAATGCGAACGTAAAAAATTTACCAAAATGGCATAAATTAAGACATTGATATAAATCATTGAAGCGCGGCAAGCAAAAAAAATACAAGTTAAATCTTTTTTTACGTTTAAAGATATTGTTTCGATTGTTGTATTGTAGATACGCCTGTCGGGTTTACGCGAGTAAAAATGTAATTCACGTGAGGGCAAGCAAATTTCCCCAATAATATCACCGCGATGTCAGGAACACACCAGAAGAGTTGATTGAGAGCGGTCTACTATTTGGTACGATTTAATGGTTGATGTCAATAACTGTCTGACACGAGCGTCATAAATACGCCTTGCAAATATAAAAAAAATGTATCGCGAACAACGTAACTAATATTTTTTTATTGATTTGATGTATAATGTACAAACATTTATTACTTTGCACTTTTTTTTTATTTTATTTTTTCTTCTAGTTCTAATAACAGCAATTCAAATCTAGGTCCCTCTGTAGATTCCTTCGTTAAAGAATACTGCTATTTTCCCTTCTTGTTTTTGTTTTCGTTAACGTTGTGACAAACACCGAGAAATACGGATTGTTCTCGTTGAAGAAGGAAATGATAAAAGTTGCGTAAGTTGTACTCTTATTTGTATGTGGAATATAACTTTTAACCTTATTAAGTGCTTTTCTGCCAATATTTTCCCACCACGGGAATAAATATTTGCCTAGTAATGATACTAGGCGATAAATGTTACATTAAAAAATAAAAGCTATTGAAGAATCGATTTGTTCTGTTGTAGACAAAACAAATATTTGTATTGTTATCCGGTCCATAAAGTTACACTTAAATGAAATAAATAAATAATTGGAAGTTTGGAGAAGTAAAAGGAATAAAAATAATTGGGTTTTCTAATTATTTTGCTCACTTTTAACAAATTCTATCGAGTAAGAGCGTAACAAAGAGGACAAAATGTATGTATTAGGTACTGGTAATGCTAGTAGTAGCAAAAAAATTGTAAAAAATGTATTTATTTTATATTAACGATGTTTCTTGGACGACACCGCGCTGATGGTTTGACGTATTTCCGTCGATTTGTTATTTTCGCGTACGGTGTTTTGAAGTTACTTTACTATGCGCTCATGTGTCCTAGGCTTAAGAATCACGCGTCTAGTCTTACGCCAAGCAGCAAGGTCTCGAGAATCTATTCGCTTACGGAACCTTTCCACTTGTCTAATTTGCCGAGACGGTTTTCATCGAGGTTAAGCAAAGGCTTTCCTAGAGCCTCGACTTTGCCGCACCGGTGATTTCCCATGGCGCTGCCGATCGTGGACAAAAGAGGACGAAGCGACAGTTGATTGTGTCCTAATAACGTAACGATGCCTGTACAGATTCAGTGTCTGGCAGTTGCTATGGTCACGACACGCGCGACATGCTCTGGATGGGAAGGTTTTGGCTGCGGGTGGTTTCTCCTAACTGCGGAGTAAATGGAAATGTTCATTCCTTAAAATCGTGTATTTTTTTAGCGTTTTCTTTTTTTTTAAGGAATTTGAATCAGCTTTTTATTTTGTTTGATTCGAAATTTTAATTTTATAAATGAGGTTTAGTCTTCCTGATTACGGTTCTGTATTTTTAATATCCACTGTCAGTTTTTCCGATCGAAATAACTCATCTAGAGGAGAAAAAAAATTGTTACCTGGACTTTTGTTGTGAAAAATTGTATCATTTTTTGTCGAATTTTGACGTCAAACAAAAAAGTATCTAATACAAAAGTTGTAGATCTTGCAAAAATCTACAACTTTTGTAGAGATTACTTTTTAAGATAACCTCAAAATTTCCGAGAAAATGCGAAAAACAGTTTTTTTCTTATTTTTCGTTTTTTATTTCTCATTTCCGCAAAAATAATTTAATTTTGACGAAACTTGGTCATAGTATACCAAAAAATCAAGAAGTTTCCGAAATTTTCTTTCCCGCCTGAAATGCTATTTTTTTGAAAGAAAAATTCTACTTAGAAAAATCATCGTACAGAGTTCGGCCGGTGATCATTTTTTTCGTTGTGACATATACTTTTTGGTGAAAAAATCTGTAATCACAGTTCAGACATGCTCAAAAGTGCAAAAAAATAAAAATTCACTTGCAACAATGAATTTTTCAGTAATTGTTGGTGCTTAAATTAAAAAAAAATTAAAAACTGATTACACCATTCAATTGTACGGAAAAAAATACAAAAAAAAACTGTCTCGTTGTTTGACCCAAAACTTTATTTTTGTACAGTATTGCTAAGTGAATAGTGAATAAATAAAATAAATAATTATTTTTTTCCGTAGGATTGATTACTGTACTTATTTTTTAAAAATTTGGATGAATTCATAGATATACAGTGTGTCCAAGATAAGGATGGAATAGCATTAAGATCTAGGAAACGGTAAGAGATACGGGGTGGCCTAGAGTAGAAAAAAGTTGTGTTTTTTATGCCTAACAATATGCCGTTTAGATAGTTTTTAAATTTCGGGCAGAAAAACCCGAAATTTTTCAAAATTGTTAAATTTTTGTTTCTGGCTTTATTTGAAAACGAATTTTAAAATAAAAAGTATATGTCAAAACTAAAAAATTATCACAGGCAGAAACTCTGCCTTCTTTGAAAAAAAAGTGTTTCAGACTTTTTTTATCTGAAAAATTTGGTGGTTATTTAAGACAAAGAAAGGTATACATTCACCAAGTTTCGTCAAAAATAAGTTATTTTTGCGGATATGAGAAATAAAAATAGAAAAATTTGAAAATAAAAAGTGTTTCTCGCATTTTTCTCGGAAATTTTGAGGTTATCCTAAAAAGTGACCTCTACAAAAGTTGTAGATTTTTACATTGGTTACTTTTCTGTTTGACGTCAACTTTCGCCAGAAATCCCAATGATACAATTTTTCACAACTTTTCAACCCCTCAAATCAACCCTCCGCCTCCCCTGCTCACGCATTTATTTTTTTAGGGTAATTATAAGCCCTTTTACCATTTCCACTTATAAAATCCAGGTAACAATTTTTTTTTCCTCCAAGTGTAATTTGGTTAGACTACATATACATAATATACAGAGATACGTACTTAAAACAATTTATAAGTAAATAAATTAATTGAATTGAACACCATATTCAAGAAAAAAGCTCTAAAGTGAATAAAATGTTGCGAGATTTGTTCTCAACAGGTATTTTTAACGATATAGGCGAGGCGCAATAAATTTATCTTTTATAGCTCAATAAAATATGTTTTTGTTGTTTACAAAACAAGAAAACAATAGTTATCGACATAAGTCACTCAATCAAATTATAATTTTCTTAAAAAATAAAATACGTGCTACAAAAAATACTCTAGTAATTGTTAAAATTGTGATAAAATTGCAGTTTAGAAATTATAATCTCTGTTCTTGGAGTTGAATTTAATTCGTAAGCCAAGGTCCAACTCATGATTTCCCTCATTCCAGAGGTACTGAACAACGCCATCTTCGACGAGGACCACGACGAAATGGTGGTGGTGAAGGACATCGAGATGTTCTCCATGTGCGAGCACCACCTGGTGCCCTTCTACGGGAAGGTCTCCATCGGGTACTTGCCCTGCGGCAAGATCCTCGGCCTCAGCAAGCTGGCCAGGATCGTGGAAATATATTCTAGGAGGCTGCAGGTCCAGGAGAGGCTCACCAAGCAGATAGCCGTGGCAGTGACCAAGGCCGTTCAACCCGCCGGGGTTGCCGTCGTCGTCGAGGGGACGTAAGTGACGATCTCTCCATTCCAAGACGGAGATAATTGAGGTTATGATGTTTCAGGCACATGTGTATGGTGATGAGGGGCGTCCAAAAGATCAACAGCAAGACGGTGACCTCCACCATGCTGGGGGTGTTCCGCGACGACCCCAAGACCAGGGAGGAGTTCCTGAATTTGGTGCAGTCCAAGTGAGGATACGAACACGTGGAGTCCGTTCTAAGGAAGAAACTGTCGACGCTGATTCAAACCGATTAAGTATTTATTTCTTTTAACGCTATGTTTGTAAAGTGTATATTTTATTGATAGGGGATGTTAGTTGAGTTAGTTCCGTTAAATTTAAGGTTAGCTAGTTTTATGGTGATGAGACAGCTGCATAGTGACGATTTATTTTACACCCGATCAAGATGTTTGAGAGGAAATTCAGTTCCTGTGCGAAAATCGCTTTTCGTTTATTTCTGGTTGGTATTTTTATAACTAAATTAATTCTTTTTAGGGTGTCAGATGTACTCCAAATCAAGTTAAATATTATTTTACTTTTACACGTCTTGAAAACAGAAAATAACTAGTGCTATTTGTGATTATCAGACAATTCGCGCCTATTTGTTTTTTTAACGTACAAACAGGTTATTTACAAAATTGGAGAGCATATTTAATGAATATTATTTGCATACATACATTTTTTTTGGATTTACCACAATAATACTAGGAAACATTTGTGGAACCGCTGATTTGACGATACGACGGCGCAAACGTGTCCTCTTCAAGTTTGTAAACATCCTGAATAACCCATTAAAATGTGAGGTTTTCAAAAACGTAATAATAAGATCGGCAAAGACAAACAACTGTATTATAATCATATGGCACTAGACAATGCAGTAATCCCTTACATTTAATTTTTTTTAAATGAAATTTTTGAGTGAGACTAATGAAAATGCAAAGAATAATGACAAGTTATAATTGTATAAATTTTATCGAATTTGTGGTACTTAAATAGTGGACCAATATGTAAAAATGTATTATCGTTGTGGTAAATTGAATATATATCCAGGGTGTTGAATGTTGACTAAATATGTTATTCTACAAGGTATAACTGAAATACTTGACCAAATGTTAACGGTAGTTTCTGTGTTGCAAGTTAACAAAAAAAATCCTATGGGTTATCAAAAATTGAAAATGAAAATATTTTTTAAATCGAATAAGCTTTTGAAGCAGTTTAATTCAAATTTAGAACGCAGTTCTCGAGAAATGGATGTAATAATTCGTTCACAATTTGCTCAGGCATTTTAGTTACACGTTATTCATGGATAAATCAAAACTTCTCGGGACACAGGGTGTTTTAAAACAAAATTGAACCAATAAAGTTATATCTTATCATCAACACCTTGTATATGTAGAGAAAAATATTTAAATATTGTACAATGTCGTGTATGTTACTGTGATATGTAAAAAAATATATAGTGGACGTTATGCCGTTGACCGATGCATAAAATTTAAATTTTTTAAATGTTTAAATAAGTTATTAAGTCCAGACGATATACGAATGTGTTGTAAGGTTAAGTTAGCGAGTGTTTTACGTTCCATGGAAGATCGTATATTAGCTGTTGCAGTATTTTTTATAAGCTGTTGGAAAACTTATTTTGCTATCTAATGTTATAAAGACAATCGATGTAAGTGCCCCTGAGCGGTACGATAAGTGTAAAATACCTGTATATTACAATAAAGTGAACACACTTTGAGACCTTGTTTTTATATCTACGCACTACGTAGATCAGACATTGCACATGTTGTAGTTTGTTTTGTACTTTTGCGTTTAAAAAAATTTCTTGATTTTTGTTTTTTGTTAGTTACTAATTTTTTTTTATTCCTTTTGTTTTTTTGGCCGCTTTAATTCTTTTTTTGAAAACTTGGAAACAATTTTTTTTGAATTTTCTTAATTTTTTCTTATTATTTTTTTATAAGTCTGTGTAGCGTTAGGTTAAGCGCTGTTGTCACATTGTGATGAAACTCTCCAATATTAATACTCACATACAACTTTTTTGTTCATTTATCTCATGCTGTATTAATGGCAGTCAAACTTCTTACACCCTGTATTGCCTTGTCACAATACAACTGTGTTTGGTGGGTTGTATAAGATACAGGCGAATGACAATTAGAGAAATGCGAAGATATAACACTTACCTTATCTAATTTGAGTTAGTTTTAATGAATCAAGTTGGTGGGAAAGTCGGGGAGAGTTTAATTTTGGGTGTTCGGATTAGGGGTGGGGGGCGTAAATAATGTGAAAATATTGCATCGTTTGACAATCGTCAAATTTTCGTTATTTTTCCACAACAAGTAAGTTCTTAGTCAATATTGTGCAACATCAAATATACCTACATGATACAGATATTTTTAAAATGTCCATTATTTAAGAAATTTGAGAAAAAGACAACTTTTTGTAACTTTATGACCGTGGTAAGCCTGTCATCCTATACTTAAAGTGGGGTATGTTTAAAAATATTAAATAGCTAGTTCACGAAAATGGCACATTACTTAGGGGGTTTTATTTACTTGAAATCTCAGTTCTGAATGCTGATTGGTCGATTACCCAAGTACAATTAATTAATTTCAGATAAATAAATAAAACAGGGCTAATGTCGTTATAGCTAGAAATATTTCTACGACTGAAAAATGTCCGAGATTATTTAGATGCAGATCTCTTAGTCAAATTTTGATATTACTGCAAGCGCGACATACGTTTCCAAGTTTTCAATAATACTCAACAGTCAACAGCTGTGGCGACGAATCGGTGTCGCACACGAATTTTGCTAAATGTGCTCAGACAAAACTATAACAAATCCTCTTAACCTTGAGATGGAATTATTTACAATAAACATGGCACACTTTATCATTTCTGAATTTTACGAACTGATAACAACGAGAAAAATCTGGCCAAATTTAATAGGGGATACATATCTACAATACGTAATTCCAAGGCTTATCTTTAGTTAAATAAAATACAAGTACCAAATGTTGACAGTTGACACATGACGCACGCCGTGATAGAGTGGTGGGGTCATGGGTCATGTGCACTTTCTGTCTCACTCTTGCAACTTGCAACTATAAGTTCAATTATCTTAATAGTTGGCGTGGTGCTTGCAGGTTTAAGTTACTTTAATTGTTTTCTCGGAATCATAAATCGTGTAATAAATTGCGACATCCTCTGTTATTGAAAATATATCAGTTGTTATCTCCATAAACATATACAAATTTTATAAGTCTGATTATCAACAGTGTTCTGGAATGCGAAGCTGTAAATTTTTACCTTGGCAACACTTCCGTTGGCAGATGCCGGCAAACTCAAAAACTTTTTATTTGCACAAATTTTACGTGAGCTACGTTTTCATTTATAATTGTCCAAATCGAAGTTTGGTACATTTTTTTCATATCTTGATTTTATAAGTTATCTACTTATTGTAAAATTCCCACATAATTGTAATATCTCATGCAATATAAATCATCAAATATTATTCATTTGAATATAGGTATTTTTCCCTTTATTCCTCCTTTAGAGAGACGCCTCTGCTCAAGCCTTGGGAAAGGTTACTAAGAAACAACAAAACACACGAAAATGTATATTTTCGCAGTAAAATTATTCAGTCTATTATCTTGTTGAAAATTATCTAATCTCATATCAACTAGAATCATACCATAACTGAAAGTTTAATATTGGTTTCGCAATGTCAAGAGTGTGCACCAGCTTGCCCTCGTAAGAAAGAGGTGAGTGCAGTTTTCAAAGCCAAAAGTAAACATAAATATAATATATTGGACTGCAACAAATAAATTGAGTTTCTGTTTAGCGATTGATATTTTTATTAATTTGCGATTTCACTTTCATAAACATTGCGTTTTTAAACCGTATTATATTCACTTCGCATAAGTGTTTAACATTTTAATCGTCATTTTAAGACACAATTTCTCGGAATTATACAGGGGACGTTGAAATAACATGGCAAGTTTCTATAAATATTTTCCCTATATTTTCCCTCCAAAGTTACATTCCCCTTAAGAACGCCCCTGAAAATCGATTTTTTTAATAACTTTTAAAATACTTTTGTGTAATTTAATTATTTTTAGGAGAAAATAAATAAATGCAAATAAAAGTGGAATTTTTTTAGATAAGCACAGAAAGAATGCAAATTTTATCGGTTTATTTCTCTACGGATATAATAAAAATCATATTAAACGAAAATAGTTTTTTCTCAAAAACAGTTCATTTTATCAATATCAACCAAGAGTGCCTTTTTTAGTTAAAGGTTCAAACCATCTAAAAATATTATTTTTGTGCCTTTATCGTAAAGGGTGTAAAAAAAATGGCATTATTGTGCTACAGCCAGGCCAGGCCGTCCATGGCAAACCAAATATGCAAAATTATTGTTTTCATAGGTCAATTTTTAAAGAGCCTTATCCATTGTATTAAAAAATCTCGTAAACCGAACCCCAAATCGAAATCATACACAAGATTGAAAAAAATAGAATAAAACGCCGCTTATCTAAAAATTATATACAAATTGGGAAAGCATAGACGTACCGAAAAAAAAATAGGGAGTCCATGGGTACTGCAACTCCCCTTCCCTCCGTTCGCGCTTTGGTATTTTAAACCAAAATTACATAAAAAGTGTGCCGACTTATGATCAAAATATGTACTAAATTTCAAATAAATCGCTACAATCTCCGGAATTATTAATAAAAGTCATTTTTTAAATTTTAATTTTGCCACCCTGTATTTTGAAAATGGGGCTCGGAAATGGAAAGGGACATTATAGTCCTGTAGCCAGCGGGGTCCCAATTGCCTCCTTTATTTAGATGGAGTTACCCAAGTGTTTTTTGTGTATTTTGAACTGCAGAACACGAATTTTTTGGGTAGAAGTTTGCCCGGATGTCGATAAGTTTTTTATTAACAAGAAACTTGCAAAATACTGAGAACTTAGTTAAAATTAAAAAGTTTTTGACAAATAATGCAAACATCTGATTTAATTACGCTATTCATCTTAAGGCGTGAAAAATTTGAAATATCAAAGATATAATGTTTGCATTGTTAATTCTAATTTGCTTTGTAAACATTATTATACGATTTGTATGAAAAAAATTAGCGAAATTATATTAGTTTTATTTATAAACGATAGTAAAAAAGTTTATACTTACTTATATTAAAAGCGTAACATCGTATAATTTAGGTGTTTTTATAATTATTATTTTTTAAACTTGTATAATAATTTAAATTATTGTAATATTGCAAATTTTCATTAAATTGTTAATGTTTCGTTCAGTTTCATCGTTTCTTTGATCTAGAAATGAAGATTACGCGTCAAGAACGCCTGTAAGAAGGCAACCGCTCTCTTACATACGTACATGGCGGCGCACCCTTTTGAACGCTCAATCGCTATTTGTTTATAGCTTCAAATAACAGTGGAAAAAACAAATTTTCACACTGCAATTACTCATAATTTGTAGTATTTAACTTGAACTTTCAAACACCGTCAGCAGAATTACAAAATACCTATTCAATCAAGTTATTAACGATTGAAAATCGCAAAAATCCCTTTTTTCGAATTTTTCACGGCGTTTATCTCAAAAACTATGCGTTTAACAAAAAAATTGCAAGAGACATTTTCTTCTTACAATAGGTCAAAGAACAAGAAAATAAAAACTAAGTATTTCAGAAGTATTTTGCAAGTTTTTTGTTTAAAAAATTTATCGACATCTGGGCAAACTTCTACAGTTCAAAATACACAAAAAACACTTGGGTAACTCCATCTAAATAAAGGAGGCAATTGGGACCCCCCTGGCTATAGGACTATAAGAAAAGTCCCATTATTTTAGTACAAAGAATGTGTGGTTAACAGGTTTACCAACTATAATATTCAACGATGACTTGACCATCAATAGCACTCAAATATATAATTTTTTTTTACAGAACCGCCTGCGAAAATGGACAGAAGAAAGGACAAATACTCCGTCGACAAGGAAACTGGAGAAATTTTATACCCGGCACTGTACAATTCAGAGACGGGGGAATATGAGGGAGACGTCGTTGTGCCCCAAAAGATAAGATTTCGAATACCGTTCCAAGAGACAGGAGGAGAGGAGCCCGACAAGAAGCCCTATAACGCTCCAAAATCGCATCCCCAAGACCGAGAATTTATAAAAGCCGCAGTATTCCTGCTACCCGCAGCAATTCTGCTGTATCCGGTCGTGTTCGTGGGTACCATGCTGTTGGAGACGATTTTACACTGCTGGGTGCACAAGATAAACAAAACCCTTAAAAGTGATGGGGTGTATTACCAAAGCCCACTGCATGGCATCACAAAGGAATTCTGCAGTAGGTGCAGGGAATTTGACGCTGTTGAACAAATCGGCAAACTCCAAGATGTGCGTAGCAGCAAGTTGACGAAGTACGGTTTGGAATCCATTAGGAGGGTTGTTACATAATGTGAGCCTTCCTCATGATTTTAGGGACTGTACATATTTATATTTATTCAGAAATGTAAGGTTTATTTAAATTTTCCACCTTGTCGGCAAAGATAAGGTTGATAAATTTATCATTACCATTTTTTTTTACTTGTTGTTGCGTAAGAACGGTTGTGGTTAGATTAGAGAACATGGCGTACTGTATATTTTAAGAAAATATATAATGTTTTGAAAATAATATAGCGTATTATGTCATATTATAAATAATATGAACACATATTTTAAAATGTTACACTTTCATTTTTACACAGTTATTTTCAAATTGTTGAATCCATACAATTGATAAAATAATTAAAAATTAAATACGTCTGTTTTTGTCACCCAAGACTTGTTACAAAAGAATAAACTAAAACTGAACCTATTGGTCATTGTACCTACTACAACAGAAAAACGTAGAAGAATCATATTTTACTTGTTTCATGATAACTGAATATATTCATTTGGCAGAAATGAACTATTAAATTTGTATAAATTTAGTTTTGATTTAAAACCCACCAAAAAAATCTCAATATTTATTCCAAGAATTTGGAATAAAATACTCTCAAAGTCTACGCCTATGATAGCCACTTGCAACAAAGTAAATTGAGATCTTATAAATATTTGTCTAACTGATAAGTAATTGTAGAATAAAAACTAAAAAGTTTTTGAAATGTTCTTACTAATGCAATCTATAATAATCTGGCCCTGTTTTTATGCAACCCATTAATATTGAGAACTGTATTTATGGTTGCCTATAGTCCATCAATTTTCTTAAAATCTAACTTTTACGAGTTTAGCAACCTCAGATGTATACGAAACCGCTATTCGAAAATAAACGCTTAAATTTTGATGTCCCTGAGCTTTATGAGGTCTGTCATCATTTTGTTAACTGTCAAATATCAGCTGTCACTTATTTGTCATGTGTTGATTGTTGACATTGACAGATGTTTATAAACGAACCTACACCACTATGTATCGCGATATTAAATGCAAAAAATGCAGAAAATCAATCCTTAATGAAGGGCAGACGAAAGATTTATTCTTGAATGCCCACAGCTCTCCCGTGGCCTCACCTCCAGAGGAATGTGCTTCGGTACAAGAACAAAGCAACATATTTTTGAATGAAGAACTGTTACCTCATTGGATAATTCTTAGGATAGAGGCCGAAAAGTGGTCAAGGGGTAAATTGAATTGCCCATATTGCGACTCGAAGATTGGAAGTTTCGATTTCGTTTCCGGATTAAAGTGCAGTTGTTCAAGTAACTTCCTCCCTCCGGTGCATGTTATTAAGAGTAAGATAGATTTAATAAGGGAAAGTACTTGATGCAACAGGCATCGGGGACATGCTTTTTGGATAACGGAGACACGAAATTCGTGACGATTCAATGAAATTGTGACATTGAGAAGGGTTTGCTTCAAATTGGAGTGCATTATGTATAGAATTTGTATATAAAAGAACGTTAAATATATACGAATAAAAAATTACCAATCAGTATTTTTATTTGCTTCAGTATTTTTTTTATGTACAGGTAAACGGAAAAAATAGGCAAGTTGAAAGTAAATAAACATTTATTGTATAAAAAAAGTCCACAGTATCAAAAGTAACGGACAATATAGAGAGTATAGACCTTCCACCAAATACGCAAAAGATATATCACTAAAATTCTAAAAATAGTATAAATACATCATAAACTTATAAATATATTGAGCAGTACTTTTTTTTGGTGTTATTATTAAAACATAAACTATTATATTATTAACTTTACTTCGTACTATCACTTATTCGTAATGTTAAAATGATATGTTTAAATATGTATATTATTCCGGAAAAAAAAATGAAACGAGTTCAGCTTGCCTGCAAAATTACGAAAGCACCAACAGAGCATCATAACTTGAAATTGAAACAGTGATCTATCACGAACGGTGGACCACACAAAGCCAAATTTAAAGACAAATAAGTTTTTTCGCATATTTGACAATTTTTGGGGCTAAGGGGTCCGAACCGTTACCTGCTAAAATAAATTTACCTATAATAAATAAATGCCTACGAATTACTGAAAATATTTTTAAATCTAATTCATATAATTAAAATATTACTTAACATTTAATTAGGATTATTAAGAAGTGTAATCAGATCATGTTTATGTCGATAAACTTTTAAAAAATGATGCAAAAATATTAATATTGTTTATTTAACGATTGAAAATTCATGCCGCATTAATTCTTATTGGTACCAATGGAAACGAGATCCAAGACTTAACAATTATTTACGCAACTTTTGAGTAATTAATTATAAAGTACAAAAAAATTATATTTGTAGGTTCTCTCACTACTCAAATTCAAACTATTTCCTGTTATTTCCGTTTCTGTGTTAATTACGATTACATAGATTTTTTGCAAAAATTAATGTGCGTCTTGAAAAACGAGAAGCTTGTACTATGAAAAATGAGAATCGTACTTCCCAAGTTAACCACTTTACGTGCTTCTCTCACTCGTTTGTTAATAAATAAACAAATTTTCTATTAATGTCCGATAAAATTCCCGAAACTTTAGTAACATTTATTTATACATATTTTGATTATCTTCAATGTAGTTTTTTGTACCTAGTGGTGTGAGTAATAAACGTCATTTATTATAGAAATACCGGAAATATACAGATTTACCATCACCTAAAAAAATACAGCGGTACCAATTTGTCAACTTTTTGATTTGCAGTTTTTCAAAATATTAACCGTTCGGAAGAAAGTTTAACATATGAGACAATATTTTGCAATTACAAACGTTTGTTGTTCAAGTACCAATAAATGCGAAACACTGTTAATATCGGATTTAAGCACCTTTAAGACTTGACATCCCGTACAACCGGAAGTGTAATAAACAACGCAGCACAGTAGAAAAAATAGAAAAAAAACTCCACCACGACAACGAAAATGCAATACATTAGCACCTGGAACCAGACGAACCCGATCAACCCTCAAAAACCACACACAAAAAATAAGTTACGACCAACCCGAACCTAAAAAAAACTTACTGCTGTTTACAGCCACCGTCCTTGCTCTTCTTCTTCTGTTTCTTCTCCAGGGAGGACGTCCTCCTCTGTCCCTGGATCGGCATGTAGGGGGGCACCGGATTGTCGTCGTCCTGCTCGGCGATGTCCGGCGGCGGCAGGACTATGCCGGGACTGCTGCTGGACGTGCTGGTGGTCACGGTACTGGAGGCAGTGTCGTAGCTGGAAGAGATACGGTAACCCCTGCGGGAATACGTGGGGTCTATCGCCATGGCTATGTTGGCGTGCTGGGCGGGCGAAGTGCTCGACTGGCCGCTGCTTGCGGTATCACAGACTTCGGGGTCGGGGAATCGGGGCTTGTTGAGGCGAGTCAAGGGGGATCTGGAACGGTTTGCGACTTCGATCAAAGAACTTGAAAATGATTGATTATAAAGGAAAAAAGAAGTACAAAGGGATGCTGTATTTCGTACATAAGAAAGTAGTTTTAATAAAAGATCTATATAGGCATAATTTTTTTTTCTATGAATCTACGCATTTCTTTTATTTCAATACAAAAAATCTTTACGAACTACTTGAAAACATAAGTTTTCCAACATTATTTCAAGGACTTGTGATATCGTGATAAAAAAATTTAGCATGTGACCACACCGCTTCCTATATCATTATCATATTTTTAATATTACACCGACATGTTATCTATTCCACTACATTTCATTCCTTGGCATTAAGCAAATAGCAATAAAAGTAATTTTATCTTCGCGGAGATAAAAGAATTAATTCAGAACTGATATTAATGTATGCTGTGCCGACAAAAGTTAAAAAAATAATGAATTCCAAGTGACTAACACGAGTGGAAGGCATTTAGAGCTGCAAGAGTTGTATTCAAGGTAAAGAAAATGCAATTTGTGCATGTTGATGAATATTTAGATATCTTATGATTATATGTTTACAAAGCAATAGACAGGTAATGTAAATAGATAAACAAGATCGTAAATATTTATTTATTCAAAGTTTTCCTTTATGTATTTTTCAGTTATTGTAAATGCTACCGATTTATAATCGAACGTTTCCATCGAAGGACCAAAACGTATTAAATGCCAATGTCATTTTGACCCAAATATTTTTTAAAACAATTTCCACTTTTCCTCGTGCTGAAACAGTGTAAAATAATATTTCCTCGGATCAGCATTGACTCAACATCAGCAACCCTTGCTAAATAATACTCTGTATCCACTAACCTTAAATCTAGATGCGTAGGCCTATTAGCTGGAGGATTCGCCCCCATAGCCCTCTCCAAAGATGGATTATTACTAGAAACACCATTGATTTCCTTCGCCTCTCCCCCATAGGAATCAAACTTACTTGGACTATAGTTTAATTTCAGATTATTGTCGTTGACACTAGACGTCGGCAGTACATCTGCGGGAAGGCTATAACTCACGTCCTCGTCAGGATTAGGCACTGCATAGACGTCGGGGTATGCAGCTATGCTCCTAGGCACATGGGAGGCATGCTGCGGGAGAACGTCGGCAGGGAAGGCGTAAGAATCATCAGGTAGAATTTGATTAACACCAAGCTCCTGCTGCATCTCCATTTGTTGCTGCCGTTTGGCAAGAGCCTTTTGTTTGGCGCGTTCTCTGGCTCGTTTCGCCTTTGCCCTTTCTCGTTCTTGTAGTAATTTGGCTAGTTCTTTGTCTTGGGCTTCTATTGCCAGTAATCTGTCGCGATTTAGAAGGGTGTCTTCCAGCGATCCCTCCTGTTCTTGTAGTTGTCTGGCGAGTTCTGCATCTTTTTCTTCTTGAATCTGACGTTCGGATAGTTCATTGAGAGGCAATCCTACTTCCGCTATATCGATCCGGTTCAACTGGTCTGATAAGTTCCGTGTTGCAGTGTATGGCTCATTGTACAACTCAGCACTGGTAATTTCGTCGAAATGATTCGTTCTCAGCGGTTCGGTATACAAATCGATTACCTCGTGAGTTGCACTCTGAGGTAACGGCATAGCTAGAGCTTGCCTCCTTGGTAAGTTTGCCCGGTAATTGAGAGAGTTGGGTCTATGCGGCGACTGCTGGTTCTCCATCCTGGGGGGTAGCTGCGCTGGTTTCTGTGGTGAGCCTGGACCTATGACGGGCAGCTGATGAAGTCTCTCCACTTTTATCCTTTCTTTTTCCAGAAGCTGCTTGGCTATTTCCTGGTCACGTAATTCTATTACTCGACGTTTGTTCCGTTCCTCTCGTTCCATTCTGTCTGCTAGTTCCTTGGCTACCTTTTCATCCACTTCTTCTTGCTCTGCCAACATTTTCTGATAAATGGCAGCAGCCTGTTCTGCCATACGTTGTTCTCTGAGTTGCTCGTCTTTGGCTCGAGGGAAGTCCTCTCTCACCATTGCATTTCTAAATTTGTTTCCGGACAAATGTTCGTCGAATTCTTCATGTTGTAAACGATACGCCAGGGCACTGTCTTCCCTTACCATCCACTCCTGGCAAACCTCGTTCACCCTACCAGTTTTAGGTAGAGATTCTCTTTCAGGCACTTTTGTGTTTGACATTATTTTAAATGATATGCGGTACTGATTTACAACTGTTCACCTTCGTGCGGGGATAATTAATTAGAAAGGCTCTTAAATCTCATGTCTAAAGTTTAAAGCAGGTCACCGATCTGGATAAATATTTTAAAGGCAATTATAATCCGTTTTTCTGTTATTTGTATTTGCTTTCTTTCCTGTACTAAGAATTCTTGCGTAGAAAAGGAGGAATATAGCTCGTACACGTATGTTGAAGTGAAACAGATAACACGATAAATAAACATGACACATGCAAGAATTGACAAATGAAAGTGTAGGCAACAAGTAAAATAAAAATTTCCTAGATTTTTTTGAAATCTGAATTTAAAAATTAAATCACTTGTGTTTAATGGAGCGTTTTAGGAATTACCAACCATGAAATATAATAATGTGGTAAAAATCTTGACCCGTATTTTTTAAATGGAAATTAAAAAAGTTTAACATATAACATATACATGGTGTATAAATACTTCAAATATCTATTTGTAGGTCCCTTTTGATTTTCTAACCTCAATTAGAAACGTCAAATATCGTCTAGTAGGTCCCGTCTGATTTCCTAACCTCAATTGCGAAATACGTCAAATATCAATTAGTAGGATTCTTCCCATTCCTTAGCAGTACGCCAAGTGTAACATTACAATAAAGTGAGCATAATTTGAATTCGTTTTTTTATACCTACGTACTACGCAGATCTGACTGGCAAATAAAAAACAGGTATATCTCTTTAACTGGCCTATTTATTCAAAACTTTCAAGTTGCACATATAACAAATCTTAAACGATACATTTATTCTTACATTAGACTTCTAAAACTAACTTCATTTGCCCGAAACGAATTTCGACAGTCCCTCCAAGAGACTTATGTAAGCGCTGTGTTCATATGATGTGCTGTAATCGGACAATTTTTCTACGAATTCATTTGAGATTCCTTTTTCTTCCAGATAGTTAAGAACCAGGTCGTACAAGTACTGAAAATCGGAGGAATTAATTAAAAATCTAGTCACTGAGATATTCAAATATTTTCTTACCGAATCTATCACTTCTCCCGAGACGGAATAAATGTTTTCGTTCCATTCACCTTCGTAAATACTGAGTTCGTCGATGCCAAATACGTCGTCTGGAAAATAAAGATATCAACAGCACCACTTTTAAGACGATCTCTTGTACTTACTGTAACCTTCTTCCTGATCGTTTGGATTTATGAACGAACACAAGAGACTCATCGTTGTATTTCCCCTAACAAGATCAATCCTAAACGATGGTTTCGATTTCAATTCCCCGATCTCTGGTTTATCTAAATTCTCTTGTAATTCCGGTTCGGCGTCTGTGTCGACACTGTGATTTACATTGAAACTTATTTTAATTCTGCAAAAGAAAAATGTTTAATGCCGTATACTTCTGGTAATGAAAGAAAGCACGTACGTTTCATTATCAGTCTTTTTAATCAATGTTACTTCAGCTCCATTCAAACTCGCTTTAAATCCCTCTATTTCCGTTGGGATTGTTTTGACCTTTTGTGCTTTTCTTTCGGCCAAAATTTCTTCTGTTAAAAACTCAACCAATTCTTTCTCACCTAAAATAACAAAATTTGTTTTTGTATAATTAGTATGCACAAGATTCCAGTAATTACACAATACAAAAATTTATAAAAAAAAAGATTATCTTACCTTTGGTATGAATTCCTCTTCCACCACATCCGCAACCGCACAGATAATTGTGCTTCATCTCCCAAATTTTGCCTTCATTTTGGGAATTGCACATGTACCACAAATTCCGTGCAAATTGCCTGTGTTGAGTAGCATTATTAATGGACAACACGTTTTTCGCAGGATTTAACAAGGATCTGAGGCCACTTAATCTAACCGCGGTTTTGAATACGTTGTTCATTTTTATTAAAAATTTTCTGGAAAGGAATGTAGCCGGTAAAATAATCAAAAAAACGTGCCCAAGTTCTACTTCGCACGAAATTGTCATATGTCATTTGTTCAAGTGTACCAATCTCAAAAAATACGCCAGCAGTGTGGCAAACATAAATAAACAACAATGAAAACAAAAACCTCTACAAAAAATTCAAATGGGAGTTTATTATTCTTCACGTTAAATTTAGAGCTGTAGAGCTGATAGTTCGACATGCAAATAATATGCAACTAAAAACAAAGGAAATTATAAATTCGCAACAAATTGTACCCTAAAAGTGTATAGAATGTTGCTTGACTTACAGGATTAGGATTGCATCCAATTATTTATAGATATTTTAAAAATTACGATTCTAATACTATAAAAAGTATGTTTATGCTCTAGAGATATACCATGAATATACACCTTACAGAAAGATACACATTTCCAGTATTTTATAGATTTTATGAAGATTTATTTATAAAAATACTTTAAATACTTCAGATTTTTAGAAGCATCCCCACAACAAACATATTATTTTAAAAACCTTAAATGATACATTCCTATTAATGAGAACTGAACAATATTTGCTTTACCTGAATAATTATACGGCAGGTTGTAAGATTCATTAAGTAAACATGCTGATAAGGAAATAAATTAGAATGTTGTCTACAGCTTAACAGTCGTATTTTTAAGTGTTAAAAATCAAGTGCAAGATGAAGAGCTTCCATAGATTTTTCAGAATATCTTTTATACTGTTAGGTTAGTATAATTGATGCAAATAGAACATTATTAGCGGTTTTCTTTTTAAATAAACAAACGTATTTTTGTAGTGATTCTGCTAATGTTCTCGCAAGAGGTGGAAGCAAGGAGGAAGATCTTAAGAGGACGCAAAACGCTCACAAGAACATACATGAGTAAGTGACAGTTTGTATAACGTTTATAAAAATTAAAAAACTTAAAAAAATAATGCGCAGTCCTATATAATGTTTACATAAGGTTCAAAATTTATTGTTTCGAATCAAATGCGATTGTGTCTGACTTTGGAAACTGTTTACAAAGCTACTGTAAAAGTAAAATAGCAGACAGTTATTATTTGTGTGTTAGCGCATAATTTTCTCAAAATGGAACGCGAAAAACGTGGAATTACTTGAACAAAAGAACTATTAAAAACATGAGATATAAAGGACGAGAGGGTGCTTCTAATTGTTGACAGGTTTAGGAATAGGAAGTGCGTGGTCAGGGGAAAGCAGGATCGATGCCATCAGATCTAAGAGAAGGTGCCTCAAAAAGAGGCATAGTTTACAAAATAAATGATTAAAAAAGAATTGTACTGTTGGGTATCATATTTAACGTCACTGTCAAAAGACAATGTTACAATAGAAATAACGTCACAAAATTTGTTTTTTTAATTAGATATATTTTAGGAACATCCGCTATTCCCGGCTGGGTAGTTGCCTTGCTCATAGGCATCGCCCAGATGGTTTTTGGAGGGATGCTGTACGTTCTGTTGAAGGTCTGCATTTTGGATAAACCAATCCAAGCCAGATACCAACAAGTCGAACGAGCCGAAGCATAATTTTTTCGTTAAACGTGAAGGAAACTTAGTTTTTTACATTTTACTTTAAGATGTACCTACTTTATTTTAAAATATTTAGAATGTATAAACAGATTTTAAAAAGTTGGCGATATTAAACGATATTACTTGTCGAATATTTAGTATTTTTGTAATTGAAGTATTTTTATATAGCTTTAAATATAAAACGTTTGTAAACACGACCACCGCATTTATTAATTTGGTTACAGTTTTGACCCTCTACATGTACAAAATTAGAACTGGATTTTTCATGACTTCTAGGTAATAAAAATTAAAAGATAAAACAATATGTAGTTCTAAATACGGAATAGTCGGAAATAGGAGCAGGACACTGAGTAACGTGAATAACAAACATAGATGACACATATTACGCCTTGTATTAATCCATTATTCAGTTTATCAATAGATAAGATAAAGAAATTATTGAAAATCCATCATTTGTACGAAATCGCAGATCACATACCTAGTCGCAACAAGTGCTTCAACAAAAATGAAGTTATTTAAAAGGGGATTTTTCTACCTGGCGATTTTGGCAGGTAAGGCAGGCCCTAATAGGTTTTTCTTTCAAATATCAAGACGACTATTATTTTAGTGATAATCACGCTGCTTACGGGGGAAGTGGAAGGTAGAAGAAAAATATTGCGCGGTAGGAGAACAATCACAAGGACCTATTACCGTAAGTATATTGCAAAATTCTTAAAAATATATTTTAAGTAACTATAAAGTATGTCTATATGCTTTTAAACGTTTTATATAGAATTAACGCATTATTCGATACCTAATTAGAAAACAATGACGTCACACATATCACCATTTTCCTTTCTAAATTAGTCATAGCTACAAAATTAATTACAAAGTACCTAATTAACTTTTTTCTTGTTAAATTCGTCTTTGTATTTTACTTTATTTTAAAAACATATTACTCATAGTAAAAACCAGCAATAATAGTGCTTGTATGTAGAATAATACTTATTAAACATTTGAACAAAGAATAAATTATTTTCCATGCCAAAATGTTGAAAATCTCGTTTTTTTGTTCATATTTTTTGACAAAAACTTAGACGAAATAATTGCTTCTATTTGTTTTCATAGATATGTCAAATTTATATTCTTTCTACTTTCATATAACCCTTTTTTTATATAACACCGAAAAATGTTATTACAGGTCGAAATGCGTTACCAGCCTGGGCCATTGTCCTTATGGTGGCGATGGGTCAAATAATAATTGGTGGAATCATGTATGTCGTTATGAGAAAATTCATAATAGAACCTCCTTTGACCGGAAGCTATTCCGTAGCATCGACAACAGAAGAGCCTTAAAATGTGATTTTTTTTCAACAGAAAAACTAATTTGATTAAACTTCCATAAGACCTAAACTAATTTTGTAAATTATGACAGCTATATTTTAAGTACAAATGAAAAACTGTATTCTTAATTTTTCCACAATTTGTTACGCGATAATTTCCCAAAACAGACAAAAGAAAATACCCAAGTAGAAACGTTATATGTGTATGTATATTTTGTACTTGTTGAACTTTTTTTTTAAATAAATACCATAAACTATATCATATTATTTCTTCCATTTCAGGAAATGCCTTAATTTGAGAACAGTTTTCTATGAAGTCAAAAAACCCTTGTACTAACTAGTAGTGTTAAAAGTAATTCAAAAATGAATTATATAAACCATTTTCCTTTTGACAGAAGTGTTAAAATAGTTTTTCCACAAAAATGGAACAGTTTCTTCTTAATAAAAAAAAGTATATTTGTTCCAAGTCTGCTAACCCAAACGATTTTGAAAAGAAAACATAAATTTCATGAAACTATAAAAGACTTAAAAAGTAGGCGATAGTACAATGAAGGGCAACTTAAAGTCCCCACTAGTTGGATCGCTCTCATTCTCTCGCGCCCCACCACAAATAATTACGGAATGTTTCGGACTGGGAGTGTTGTTTGGAAATATACACCGTGGCACCAAAAACTGTTGTATTCAATAGGATGAATAATAATGAATCCGATAACAGTTACATTTGATATTTTAAAATATATTATTTTATTAATGATATGTTAACATTTCGTAGTTAGTTAAATAAGAATATTGAATTATTTTTTTTAAATAAAATATTATATAAAAACTATTTACTTTTTTAATTATTGTTCGCAACATTCAATACCTGCATATTTAAAGTTTTTTTTCCATTACTAGAAATATTCATACAGGGCGGGCCAATAGTGATAATATTATTCCTATTCCATACAGATAGAGAATAATTTTTAGGCGCCTTAAGGGGGACATTTTTAAAATAGTATGAAGTATACGGGGTGATTCCGAAGGCCGCATCAAACATGGTTTTTAAACGCGCGCAATGACCCGATTTTTTATATTTCATATTTTAATCATGATAATAATGAAATAATGATGGAACAGTAAACAATCTTCATTTTGATTCTGTGTTTTATATACAAAATCTTTCAGACAAAATAACTAATGTTTTCGGGAATGAATCAAACATATACCTAAATTGCAAATGAAAATATAAAATTTATTAATAATGTATACACTATAAACGTAAAAGGT